AGGAAAGCCTGGGACGTGGGCTGGCGGCGGCCCTACGGCGCACCGGCCAAGGCCAAATGCGACTCGGCCCGGGCCAATATTGGTACCATCATGACCGAGGTGCTTGAGTGCGATGGCGTGGATTTCGATGTCATCCCAGGTGAAGCTCATTGGCTACTCGGAAAGGCCGAAAGGCATGGCCCCTGGTTCGCCAACATTCTGAGCAAGGTGATCGAGACCATCCAACCGAAGAGTCACCAGGAGTGGGAGCAGTGTGTAGCGGCGGTCTGCGATCAGAAGAACTGCCTCCTGAGGAAGCACGGCTACAGCCCCTACCATCATATGTTTGGACGTGATCCTCCTCTTCCAGCCGACCTTCTCAAGTTGATCTCAAGGACTCACCTGACGTCGTCGCGAACAGCCTGGCGTTGCACAACGACATCTACCAGCGGACCACTGCTGTTCGAGCCGCTGCTCGCATGGCCGCCCTGATGCACAGCGACGACGAGGCTATGAGGACCGCCATGGACGCCCGACCTCGGCCACTTCGAGAATTTCGCGCAGGAGATCGGGTAGCCTACTAGCGGCGAGGTCGAGGCAAAGGTCGTCAGAAGGATGGTAAGAACAATGCGCGTTGGCATGGAAGAGCCACTGTCCTTGGCGAGGAGAACGGTCACTACTGGCTGTCCCACGCAGGCACCTTGATTCGAGCTGCTCCTGAACATCTTCGACACGCCACTCGGGAAGAGGAATGGGCATACTGGCGCGCGCGTCAAGATTTCAAAGCCGCACAGGAGAAGTTCAAAGGAAAGCAGGACAACTCGATCTACGTGGACCTTCCTGTCGAAAACCAAGGACAAGATCCGTCTCCGCTCGGTGGGGGTCATGTCATAGTGGTACCAGCGCCTCTACCTGTCAATGCTGCGCATGCTCCACTTCCTGAACAGCCTCTACGCGATGCTGAACCGCTGGGTGATGCACCAGTTCCAGCTGCTGCAGACGGCGATCCTGACGTAGATCAAGCAGCCAAGCGAAAAACTGACGACATCCACGAGCCAGGTGCGGTGGCCCAGCGTGTTTTCGACATCGAAGGCAAGCCCCTGAAGCGACTTCGGGAGAAGACGGCGACGCCGTCGGGGGCTGCTGCATCATTGTCTCCACCTGGTAGATCTGATGCCGAGGTGGTTCCACCCTTGACCGCCGTCGGGACGGCCGACACCCCGATCCCCGATCAGGATGCTGAGAGGCTACTGACGGAGGCCCAGATGGAGGACCCGGACGCGAGCATCACTGCCGATGTCTGCCTGACCTCCCTGGTGCATACTGGCAACACCTGCTACGAGGCGCTGCTAGCGAAAGGCCGCAAGGAGACCACCGAGAAGATCCGACCCAACCTCATCGAGGAGATCCTGAACGCGAAGATGACAAAGCGGCAGACCGTGGACCAAGAGAAGCACGCGGCGCGCGCGTGCAGCCTGAAGGAGTCAGGGGAGATCAAGCGGACCCGGCCCGACCGCCACGTCGACGCGCGTTTCGCCCTGACCATCAAGTACGACCCCGACGGCGAGGAGTCGGTGAAAGCTCGCTGGGTCACCAGAGGCTTCAAGGACCCAGACGCTCTCAAGCTTGCCTACTGGAACCAGACAGCAGCTCCTACGATATCGCAGAATGCCCGGATGTTAGCTCTCCGTCTTGCAGCATCACATCGTTGGCAACTTCAAATCGGAGACATGCGGGGCGCCTTCATGGAAAGCGATCCACTGCAACGACCAGACGGACCTCTCTACGCGAAGCAACCACCTGGATGCCTTCCTAGACTTCACCCTGACCAGGTGGTGGAACTCGCACTGCCTCTATACGGTTTGGATGACGCCCCCTGCCGCTGGCGCTCGAAGATATTAGGTTGGCTCACGGATCAGGCCGCCCACGAGAACAAGGCGTGGACGAAGTCCAGACTGGACCCCTGCCTGTTCTTTCTCAGAGATGCTCAACAACAGCTCTGCGGCATTCTCGTGGTTCACGTCGATGATGTGCTGATCGCTGGGGAAGGTGACTACTCCAAAGAGGCGGTGCAGAGACTGAAGGCGAAGTTCTTCTTTCGTAAGTGGGCCGTCGGCGAGGGCGAGTACTGCGGCAATCTACTCCATCAGGATCCGGAGACGTTCGACATCTCTGTCAGCCAAACCTCGCCCTACCAGGAGCTGAAGCCAGTTGTAGTTCGACGACGGGTTGCTGACAGTGAACCAGCCACCGAAGTTGAAGTTGCTGGACTTCGACGTTTACTTGGTCAAGGAGGCTGGCTCTGCAGTCAAACGCGACCTGACACCAGCGCACAGGTATCTCAAGGCCAGCAAGTACTACCTCGACCAACAGTGGGTCAGATCAGACGAACCAACGCACTTGCTCGGCGGCTGCTTCAACATGAGGATATGACCCTGGTCGTGAAAAGTATTCCGCCTCAGGACCTGTGTCTCATCATGCACAGCGACGCCTCCTTTCTGAACGCTGCCAAGAACGGAACTCAGGCGGGCTACATCCTGGGATTCACGAATCGCGAGATGGCAAAGGGCAAGCAGTCACCTTGGAGTCCCGCCGCCTGGCGTTCGTATCGTCTTAAACGTGTGGTTGGCTCTACCCTGGCAGGCGAGACGCAGGCCTTATCCGACGGCATCGGTCACTTGGAATGGTTGCTATGCCACCTGTCTGAGGCCCTCTACGCGGACTTCGACATCAAGAGGCGGGAGCTCTGGCTTAGTCGACACCCATGCCTGGCGGCCACAGATTGCAACAGCGTGTACGACCACATCAGAGGAGCCTCCTCGCCGTCTACGGTTGGAGATCGTCGTGTGGCGGTGGACATGGTTATTGTTCGGGAGAGCTTGTCTTGTTCGGCAACAAAGCTGAGATGGGCTCCTACAGACCGACAACTGGCGGATGGGCTGACGAAGGACTCTGCGGAACCGTTTGACTTGCTCAGAGGCGTCATCAGGACGGGCTGCTACCAGATCTCGGAGGAGAGCCTCATGCCGGACCTGGCCAAGGCGGAGCGACAGCAGAGGAAGCCCACCAAGTAATGATGCATTGCCGCAGAGGGTGACTGAGCTTCCTCAGTCGTGTGCAGTTTTTTGTTCTAACTTTACCTGCATGTGCGTTTTGGACTGTCGGTGAAAAAGTTGCGACGAGTGTGTCTACTCGAGCAGGGGAATCAACACCGATGGCAAGCACATCTCTACCGTAGTTTGTGGCTCAAGCGGCTGAGGTACTTCGTGTACGTCTATAACCACTGCACTGGGAATGGTGCACTTTGTGGCTTCTGGAGATCACGACTCATGCCGCACGTTCTTGGCCACCTTGGGTTACGTGTCTGCGGCTGGGGCTGCAGTTCACAACAAGTCGTCCACCAAGGTGAAGATTTATGCAAGCATCTTGCTGGGTTCCAAGTATGACAACCAGAAGATTGGCCTCACCTACACCTTGACGACCAAGCGGGTGCAGATCACAGGTCCTGCTGCCATCATCGACGCTGCTGAGATCACGTTGGTCGACCTCGAGAGCCGTTTCACACTCTTTCTCGAGTCTGGTGATGAGAATGTGTTCGCTGGGGCTACCATTGCTGCTACCACCGCCGTCGAGGCGCTGAAGGATCCGACCGGTCATGGCTACCAGGTGCCCTCTTCCACCGAGGAGACCTTGGCGCGGATTGCGAAGCAGGAGGTGGACATTAAGGGCTCGGACAGTCACGGGTTCGAGCGGGTTTTGTCGCTTTGGGTACCTCGTCGTATGGCTTTGTCGTCTGAGCAGGAAGTCATCATGGATGAGATCCTGCAGGAGGCCCGCACCAAGCTGAACGACTACCCCGTGCTGTACAATCGCCCGCGGTCGAGCATGATCAGGGACTTCCCCAGCTCCATTAGGGATGGCTTCGGCACGTCTCCATTGGTCGTGAGGCAGCCGTAGTCTTGAGCCTTGGAGATCGAGCACCGAGTTTTTTGAGCCAGAACACGCTGCTGCTACTGCATCTCGTGAATGACGACCAGGTGGGCAGCCCCACCTCTTGATCGTCCTCTCTCTCTTCCTCCTCCTCGTTCTATCTCTGTTTGCAGTTAGTGTGTGTGTGTGCTTCTTGAGTTTGGCGAGTTTCTGAAGGGACGCGACCCTGGAGAGTCCTCCATCTTTTGCTGCCTGCTCAGGAAGTCTCGACGAACATTTAAGTTTGGGGAATGACGATCTAGAGATCTGTACCACTATATATTCGTCTTTCCTAGCAGTCTGGAACCTAGTCGAATCAGTGCGTGTCTGCAGCGTTTGTGCTCAGTGTGCCGCGGTGGTGCAAAACAGTCGAGTCACATCCCTTACCCTGCTCTCGTGGCTCCACACCTGGGGCCGACGACACGACGACGACGATGACGACGACGACGACGACGACAACGACGACGACGACTAGAAGTCGTCCACGAAGGGGTGCCTGGCAATGGCGAACAGGGCGCTGGCCCAGGGCAAGAAAGCTGCACGTAAGGCCATAAACATCGAAACATCTCGCACCAGCGCACAGGGTGGTCATGTACTAAAGCAGCGGGGGCGGGACCTTGAGCGAGGCCAGGCGGCCCAGGATCCACTCATGGGCCACTGAAGGAAGGGCCTGGCCGTAGTCGAAGCTAACCAATGCATGGAGCTGAACGTCGACATCTGGAAGCGTCGGTACGACACAAGCTCGACAATCAAGTTCGAGAATCTTTAGACCAAAGTTCCGACCTTGTGCAAATCCAGGCTGTGAGAAGTGAACAACCTCCCCCATCTTTCTGCCGAGGTGGTCACATACTGCCTGTAATAATAGTGTGCCTCCTCCTCCACTTTCTCTTCTACTGGTCGTAGGGGCGCAAGCAAGCGGCGTTAGCTCCCCCTCCTCCTCCTCCTCCTCCTCCTCCTCCTCCTCTTCCTCCTCCTCATCCTCCTCTTCCTCCTCCGCTTCCTCCTCCTCCTCCTCTTTCTCCTCCTCCTCCCCACGCACCCACCCATCCCTCCCAGCGCGCGGTCGAGCGCCAGCCGCATCGTCAGGGCGCGGAGCGCGTAGCCCCATAACACACCTGGACTAGGACGAAGAGGAAGAGCACAGGCAGGAGAGAGAGGAGCATGAGGGCAAGAGGGGGAACGACATACATTCCATGATGCGACATACTCCGTGCTCCGATTCGTGCCGTTCGCTTGCTGCCGTGAACGTGTCGCGTGCGCGTCGTGGCGCGGGGAGGCGACACGTACTCCCTGATGCTACCGTTGCTGGCGCCCTCTGGCGGCGGGCAAGTTCCCAGGGAGCGGGGGCCCCTGCGGCCTCGGGCGGTGTGCCACTGGCCCAGAAGGTCCATTCGCTGACGCGACACACCACAGGGCATCCCTGGAAGGCTTCCAGCCGTGGTCCTCGTGCGGGAGCCTGGCAGGGGCCGATGCAGGTGTCCCAGAGCGTCTCGGTGGATCCCCTCGGCCCCAACCTCTTGTGGGCTGCGCGCCTGAGGACGTAGGTGCATGTCGCGAAACGCCGGTTTCGCTGGATGGAAGAACGGCGGGGGTTCGCCACGTTGCGGGTTCGTGCCGCCTCGTGGGCGCCCCGTGGGCGCATGCCAAGGTTGCGCCACGCTGCCGCCTCGTGGGCGCCTCGCGGGCGCCCCACGCTTCGGGGGGCTGTGTCGAGGTTGCGCCACGCTGCCGCCTCGTGGGCGCCTCGTGGGCGCCCCGCTCTTCGGGGGGTATGTCGAGGCTGCGCCACGTTACCGCCCGGGCCGCCTCGTGGTCACCTCGTGATCTGAACAGCTCGCACCGCATAGCTTACACCACGTAGCTTGCACGCCATAGCGTTCACCGCATGGCGTACACAACACAGAACACATCACTTAGCATGCATCACATAAGTTGAACCTCCAGCTCACACCGCCTAGCTTACACGGCATAGTTTACACCAGATACCTTACACCCCAGAGCTTCAAATTCATGTCTCGCACCATATGGTTCAGACCACATAGCTTATACGACACAGCTTACACAACATAATGTGCATCACATGGCTAACCCAACATAACTTCCCCCTTCCTTTCACACTTAGTAGCTCACACAGCATACCTTACACCACATAGCTTGGCCCGCCTAGTTTCCATCTTCATCAATTACACCACATAGCTTCCGCTACATAGCTTTAACAACATAGCTGACACCGCATAGTTTCCACCTCCACAGTGCACTAAAACTTGCCTGGGGCGCACACAAACATACATAGTTGTGTATGTATATATATATATATATATATACATTCACCATGCACCACATTATCCGCCACCGTGCCCTGAGGAACGAGTGGGAGTGTCCTCAGGCCCCAGCGAGCTCCCAATCTAAAATATTGTTATGTACAAAGGCTACAGCCAGGAGATCACATGATTTCCAGAGGCCGAGAATGCTGCATTCGGGACATGCATGTCCAACATGGCCTAAGATGGCCCCGAGGACCATGCTGGAGCCCTGTTGGGCGCCTCCTGGGCCATCTGGAGGGCGGCCCAAGGGACCAACATCGTCAAAATAATTTGTCTCTTGAATGGTTTTAGCATTACCGTTTTTGTGCCTTCAGAGCATACAGCGAGGCGCCTGAGTTCGCCAAACAGCTACCCATGAGCTCCCAAGAGGGGCCCAAGAAACTCCCAAGGAAGCCCCAAGAGGGGCCCAAGAGGGGGAACACGAGCTGACATGTTGCGCTCTCCGCCACAATATGACCCCAAGATCCCCACAGATGCTCCCGAGGTACCCCCAAGAGGCCCCAGGAAGTCCCCAAGCGGCCCCCAAGAGGCCCCGAGAGGCCCAAAATCAGGCCCCAAGAGGCCCTCGAGCTCGGGGGCCTCTTGGGGCCTCTAGGAGGCCCCCGCCCCAAACCACCCCCAAAAACGCCTCCAAAAGGCTCCCGAAGTGTCTCCCAACAGATCCTCACAGGCATCCAAGGGGCCTCTGGCCGACAACCCAAGCACGGTGGCGGGATGGGCTGAAGGCCACTATATACATGATATTCCAATGCACCATATTTGTAGGTACGCAAGCAATCAAAAAAAGGCGTGTATACTCTATACACATATGTGTATACGATACATGTATATTGCAAATGTATACGTAAGTGTATATGTGTACACATATACATATATACTCATGCATGGACACCCCCCGGATGGTACCACACACACACACACACACACGCACACACCCATACCTTTTTTCCATGGTCCTCCCCGGCCCCGGCACACCTTTCGAACGGACTTCCAAGCTTTCCCAACCAGATGCCCGCGCGCCGAGCGATCGGCTGAAACGCTTTTCATAGCTTCCGGACGGCCCAAGACGCCCGAGGACGGCTCCCAAACGGCCCCAAACGGGCCCACAAGGCACCCACGAGCGCCATGACATGCAAAAACCAACGCTTGTGTTTGAAATGTTTGACAGATTTTGACGCCCTCGTCATTCCGGAGTTTAAGGCTGGTCGGGAGGCCCAACCAGATGATTCGCCTGAGGCGAACCATGCGCCCAACCCTGTTGCATCGCATTAACGATAGTGCCAGAAGTGGGAAGGGACCGCGTGCGTGGCGATGATACATCTCAAGAGTAAAGGGTGGAACCTTTTCTGTCTCGATGCATGATAGCGGGCCGCGGCGCGGCCCGGTCAGATAGGCGGCCGGCCACTGGGCCCAAATGGCCGCGGACAAACGTTCGACACCTCTCGCCTTTGGCCTTCCCCCTTCAGTATCGGGGGGCGAGCAGACGAAGCGCGAGCCGGCTACCGGCCTTACTCAACAAAACAAATATATTACACGAGAAAGCCGGCAGCTGGCGGGTTAAACCTAAGCAGGTTGCCCGCAGCACACTAATCCTCGGGGGGCTCAGACGGTCTCGTCTGGCCCGCCCTGTAGGGAATGTGTCGTTTCAAGTCGTGCTTGAGGGATTGCGCTGCTTCTATGACTTGCAAAAGCATGTGTCTGTCGATGCCCCCCTTGACGTGGCCATCCGCAATCATATCGCGAGCGTCACGCCACTGCACACAATGCACGACGCCGCGCTCCATCACTTGCCGCATCCAACTGATGTGACCGAATAGTGCACATTCAGTCGGCGTCTTAAAGCCTTTGCTTGCCAAGATTTGAAGACGGATTCTGCATCAATGTCCAAAGTGACCTTAATGCTCAGGCCGCCCATCTCATGTACATCCTTCAGTTGGGTGGGTGTTAGCCGCCCTGCGTGGAGTTCGCGTAGCGCGACAATCGTAGGATAGCAGTCCTCCAAATTGCGGGCTGCTGCCAGTGTTTCAGCTGAGTAGCTCGAGCAGACTTGCAAGCGGTGAGACTTGCAGTGCGCGTCGACAAGATGGACGACGGGCTTGCCAGCGCCCGTGCGTCCACGCCTTATCAGGTTTGCCCCGCGAATACCATGGCCTTTGACTTCGCCATCGGCATCGCCGTTCGGGCGACGGTAGCGGGAGTCGCTATGCAGATCGACCTCGCCCGTTCGTGTCATCGCATTATAGTCGACCTTCTGAAGGCAGGCCTGCGGTTTCCTGGTAATAGCGTTAAGTTGTCGCACTTGCATGTCGGTCGGTTCTCGGACACGCTGCAGTGATAGAACATATACAGCTAATCACACCTGCGTGATAAGGGCACAAGCCAGAGCGCCTCTGAGGCTGACCAACATATCAACGTCCACATTCGACGCCTTAGCCTCAGCATCTGCGCCCGTGAGTTCACGATGCTGGATATGACGGAGCTGTTGCATATATTCGTCTTGGCCAAGAATAACATTGCCGTCGCTGCCCTCAGTATATGCTGAAGCGCAAGTGGTAGGTGCGTGTTCGTTGAGTTTACATTTCCCATAAAGACCCTCAACACACTTGACGCGATGGTCAATGGCGCCCTCGGCGCCGGCCACGTTTACATCATCAACATGCTTGAAAGTAAGAAGTTTAGGGTTCGCATCGAACTCCTCGTCTTGAGACGCGGGTCCGAGCCCAAGCCCTCTCGCGGTCTTCCTGAGCTTGAGCGAGAAGGCTCCCGGCGCGTCTTTGGCGCCAGTGCATGGTTTAAGGCACTGCAGACAGTGCCTTGACTCATCGCAGTGCTCAAACCCGGGGGGGGGGGTCTGAGCGCTGATGCTGCGCCAGGTGGCAGCGCAAAGCACGCCGCGCGCTCTTTCTCACCGGTCGCATCAGCGAGCTCTTGAGACGCAAATCCCTTCAAGAAGGCCACGTCGATGCCAAGGGGGGCGGCGATCCACTCCTTCACGCGCTGCCGCGCGGGCGAGCAATCGCCGGCTTGGCCGCCGCGCCGTCCCTGAGAACGCTTCGACATCGAAGGCTTCGGGGTCCGCGAAGCCCCGAAGTACCTGGCGCAATCTGATGGCGCGCTCCATCTCGCCATTTTCGTTCTTGACGAATTTCCGTGTATATATATATACATACGTACCTCGACGCCATGATGTTTGACGCCTTGGGCGCGTCTTGTACGTTGAAACACTTATTGTGAAACCACGTCTTGAGTTCAGTATATGGGGCTTTCGACACCTTGACTGGATTCGCCTGAACGTCTGCCTTGATGACTGCAGCTCGTCTAGCTGCAGCGGCCACGCGCGCTCGCATCGCAGTAACACGGTCGAAGTCCAATATGTCATGTCGTCGTTCGGACAGGACGATCTTCGACATTTCTGCCGCAGAGCAAAGTTCTACATATTGTCCGTGATCGTCGGAATCCAATCCGCAACTGTCATCTTCGCAGGCGAAACACAATGGGACATACGATGTCTCAGTTGTGTCAATGCCCTGTGGGCTGCCCCACGTAGGCGAATCCCCTTGTTATTCTTCAACTACTGTGACCAGCGCACTGTTATCAGAAATCGCATGCGTGGGTACAGTGTAGAGTTCTTCTACTGGAATGGCCTCCAGCAGTTCGCCCCGTGGTTCCGCATGCCGCACTTCCATAAGTTGTGCCTCGAGGTCCGCCGCGGATTCCTCATGAATTGTGGGGGGCCGCCCGTCTTCCTGCGGTGGTTCGGCTTCTGGGGCCTCCCTGGCATCACTGCCTGG